TGTCGGTCCCCATTTCAAGTGGATTCATTGTAAGTGGCCTTTTCTAGCACCACTTATCCTCAAATAACAAGGACTTATGTAGCCCCAGCCTTCTCTTCACCCAGTAATTGTCAAGCCTGGCTGCACATTAGAATCACTTGTGGAGTTTGCTACACAATACTGAAGCTGGGACGCCCCCACCCCAGACTAATTAAATCAGGCTTTCTGCTGGTGGGGCCAGAGCTAAAACTCTCCAGGTGATTCTGATGCACTGCCAGTGCTGTGAGCCTCTGCCATGTTCCCTCCTCGTCCATGTTGAGGCTGGAAGAGACTGAAGCGCTTTGCAGTTGGACTGATTGGAAGGGAGTATGCCAGGGCCTAGGCCTGGCTAGAGGAGGGGAGCTCAGAGAGGCAGCAGCAGAGTGATGCTAGCTTAGTTCAGGAGTCAAAGGGTGACATATGGCTGGTAGAGCTACCTCCTTGGCACAGCCACTGTGCCTTTTACTCCCTTAGCACTATGGGTGTATAGCCCCCTCTGCTCCCGTATGTAGTAGGTTAGAACAGGACCTCTCATCCTTCACCTCTCTTTCCTATGCCCGAAGCCAAGAAGGCCTGGCCTCCTCCTCATGGCCATGCAGTGAGACAAAGACTCTAATGTTATAGTGAGTGCATTGTGCTTGTCTAACGCATAAAGTCATTTTATCCTGCGGATGTACAATGTGTCTGTTTCCTGCTGTACTGCCAGCACCCAGCACAGTGCTTGACATATAGTAATTGCCCAGTAGGTATATTTTGAATGAATAAGTAGAACACAGGCAGGATGTAATAAATTCCACGATTAAGGGACAAAGTGTTACTGAGGTACGAGGAGGAAGAGATTGTTTCCAGCTTGGGAGAGGGGCAATGTGGAAGTCTTCATAGCCAGAGGTGGCATTTGAGCCAGATTTTGAAAACCAGGAAAGTCTGTGATAGGCAGAGATGGAAAGACGGCATTCTAGGCCGAAGAGACAATGCGAGCAAAGGGCAGGAGATGAGAAGATGCAGAGCTCAGAGACAAACCAGTAGGGCAGTGGGGCTGGGACGTGTGTGCCTGAGTACCTATGGGGGAAGACCAGACTGGTGGGATAGGATCCCGAAACAAAGAGCCTTGAATGGCATGCTCAGAAATTCACACTTGATTCCACAGACAATGCGGAGCCATCTGACGTTTTTGATGTTTTTTTTGTTTGTTTGTTTTTGATGTTTTTGAGAGATGCAGTATGTTTGCTTTACAAAGATTAGCTGTGTCCTTTAGGAAACTCAACCATGGCAGCAGTTCTTTCAAAAAATCTCTATCGGGTTCCTCTGAAGTGCGTGGCACTGTGCTAGGTGGAGGATGGACCGGAGCTGGAGTAATCGGACAAGAGATTAGTTGGTGGACGATTGGAGGAGTCCAGGCAAAAGCTACTGAGGGCCTAAAGCGGCTTGGTGGAAGTTGGGGTGGACAGGAGGGGAAGGATTTGACACATATTACAGAGTGAGAGTGACAGAATTTGGTGACCGTTTTACGCATGGGTGAAGGAAAGAGAAGAAAGGCTGAGCGACTGCTGATAATAATGGTGATCAGCATTTGAGTGGCTCCTCTGTGCCAGCTGTCGTGCCGAGCACTGCATGTCCGCCATCTAACTCTCACTATAGCCCTCGCGACAGATGAGGACATCAAGGCTCCATGAAATAAAGGAACTGGTCTAAAGTCATACAAGTAGGAGATGGTGGAGGCCAGACTTGGAGCTCGCACAGTGTGGCTCCAGAGACCACGCCCTGCTCCCCATGCTATGCTGCTTTTAGGGGAGAGGGGGCACGCATGTTTTCCTGGCAAAGTAATCTGGCAGCTCAGTCAGGATGCCAGCCTCCCTCAGGGCCATGCTCTGCTTTCCCCCCTGCTCATGTGAAAGAAGTGGTGGGTGGTGGAGGGCGTCTTCTGCCACCCCTCTGGCAGTTCTCCCTGAGTGCCCTTCCCCCTGCAGTGGGACGATGGGCCTGGTGAAGAGGGGTAGGAGACATGGGGCTGCTAGACCGGAACTGATGGCTGCCACAAACGTGGAGAGCTGGTAACCCACAGGCACGTGGGGCCTACAGGCATATTTAGCCCACGTGCAGGTAGTTTGGTTGGTTGGTTTTTAGACATGAGTCAACATTTAGGAATAAGGGCTTTGTGTCAAAATCCTGAGTCCTGATTTTCCTTGTAGAACGAGGAGATCTGGCAACACTGGGCCCACGTTCCCACAAGGCAACCGTGGGCTTGAGCTGCCCCCTTTGCGCGGGCCCTGCAGCTCTCACCACTCCCATCTGAGTCTGCACTTTCCACAGCCTGGCCCACTTCACTCCTTACAGTTAGCTGCCCGATCCCTGCAGGCAGTTGGCTTTGTGAGTCCTTGTCTAGAATGGCCTGCTACAGAGTTTACCCTTTTTTCCTGAGATTTGAGCCGACAGGGGACCGGGCACAGGGTCAGCATCCCCTGGTCCCACCCCCTCCCCAAGCCATAGACTGTTTCCAAGGGCAGCAAGCTCTACTTCGCAGAACAAAGCCATAAAGGGAGAGTTATCATCAAGTCTCACCATTTATTTCTTTATGGGGTTAAACAAGAGCAGAGAGGCCTCTGCCCCACAAAGCAACAAAACAGAAAGCAGTACACATACAGAGACTCTCACCGAACACAGGCGGGGGTAAGAGGGAGGGCAGAGACAACTGAATCGTAGCCGGGTAGGGAAGAAGGGACGGGGGACCACTAAGAAACCAGCTTGGAGACTCAGTCGTAGGGACTAGTGCAAGAAAGTCCTACTCATGAAGCACAGTGTAGAAAATGGCAGAAGAAAGCTGCCCGGCTCTGCTGCCTGTGATGGAGGGCAGGGCGGCCGGAGACGGGGTGGAAGATTGGGGCGTGGGGCAGATGGGGGCAGTCGAATGACTCTGAGGTGGAGTGTGGTGCCCCTTTCCCCTGCCGCTGGGCGAGGCCGTGGGCTGGTCTGAGCCAGGGGTCTCCTGGGCACTTGGTGAGAGGGAAGAGAGGATGGGAGTCTCCAAGGGTCCATTCCCTGGGGCCACATGGTTCCCCCTTTACTTCCCAGTCCCTTTTCCCCTCCTGAGGATGCAGGAGTAGAAGGCAGTACCTGGGGTCTCTCTGGAGCCCAAGCACCTGCCCCTTCGCTCACACACAAGCGTGTCTGGAAAGGAGCCAGCACCTCTTCCCCTTCCCAGCTGAAAAGAGCACTCTAGGGATGGGGTATGTGGCCAGGCCCGAAGTGCTGAGGGCCAAACGGGGCCGTGTGGTCGGGCCCAGGGTGGGGAACAGCCTGTGAGAAGTGAGAACACTGGCAAGGAAAGACTCCCCAGGCTCATGAAGCCGATTTGGGACCCAGCGGAGGCCCATGCACGAATGATTCCCTCCCTCCTCCCTCCTCGGGAGGCCTCCCATTCATCCCCAGGCCCACCAAGGGCTGCTCTCCCCTCCCCGTCTCCTTCTGGGTTTCACTCTAATGCAGCTCCAGGCCCACCCCTCCCTTCACTCGCGAGCATCACATCCTAGGAGGACACGGGTCCTTCTGGCACTGAAAGCCCCCTGGCCTGCCCCAGAAACACAGTTCTGGCTCCCTTTCTTATTGGCTCTTACTGGCTTTTAGCTGTCCCAGGAGACGTGCCCCCCAGCAGACCGGGGCACGGCTAGTGATCCCCGCAAGGGCACTCAATGTCTCTCCTCTTGTCCTGCCCTCCAGCCAGACTAACTAGTCCAAGTCTCTCAGCCAAGAGGTGACACCACTTTATCTTTAGTCGAAGGGTCCTCTTGCCAGTCTCTGGACTTTCTCCAGCAAGGGACTGGGGTAACTGGAGCAGGGGGCCCCGCTACAGGGTAAAAAGGAGCCTGCTTGTTCCACAGCTGGGATAGTAACCCACGGGGTCAGGGATGGGGAAGGATGAATACTCTTTGGTAGGCTGGGGACGGGGAGAGGGCAGGGATGGGGGAGGCTCATCTCTGGAGAGTTCTGGGGGAATGCCACCAGGTTCTCCTTCATGGAGGCCTGGGCTAGGACAAGATGGGGGAGTATGAGGACCCAGGCCAGGCCTGACCTACTTGGGCTTAAGTCCCTCCTCCCCATGGAGATTGGAAATGGAAACGTCTTTGGCCCCAAGGCCAAGATCTCCAGGGCAAGAGCGGCCCTTGGGAGTATGTGCACCTTCTGTAAGATATGGCCCTTCAGACAGCGGCAGTCGAACCACATGCCCTCGGCCTTCTGTTTCAAGGCCCAATAACTCAGTTCCCGTGCTCTTTCCCAGAGGGCTCCTTAGGCAACTCTCTGAGAGAGAAATCTCTTTGATTTGGGGAGCAGCTCTTGAGCCCACCTCTCCAAAGCCAGGTGGCAGTAGCCCCTTTGGCCATCTCTCCAAGCCCTCTGTCCACATTTGTCCTCTTCTCTCCCCCTTCCCTGTCTTCACTCTCTCTCACCGCCCATTCTGTACCCCACTCCTACCCCTCACTGCCTAGGGTGGTGGGGCACAGCTTAACTGGGGCCCCGACCTAGCTGTGGCTGTGCGCACCTCATCTCCCAGCCTAGTGCGTCACCTGTGATGGCCCCAGGTGGGGCAAGGCGCACTGAAGTGGCAGGAGGGCCATTGCACTGTCTGCCGTCGCCTGTAGGGATATGGGCAGGAGGGAATTAAGGATCCTGGCAACAAAAGGAATGTGGAGGGGGGGAAAGAGCTTCTCCCCTCTGTGCCCCCCAACATTCCCTGCAGGGCCGAGGCTGGGTGAGCAGCCTCCTTCCCTGGGGTCAGGGCTCTTGGCAGGGGCGGGCATTTCCAGCCCCCACTGCCCCCCTTTGTTTGCTGAGCCCCATAGACGGGGTCTTGGGAGGGGCACCTGCTGCTCCTGCCTTTTTCTCCCGGATGAGTTTCTCAGCTCCCTCGGGCCCTCTGGCCGTTCTGTTGGAGCTGCTTTTGGGGTGGGGGTAGGTCGGGGGGGATGTGCGGTCCCCCATTTCCCCCTCCCTCCCACCTGGGGGGCTGGAGCTGATGTCAGTGTGTGGTGGAGGTCTGTTCTCCTTCCCTACTGTCACTCTTCCCGTGTCAGGCCCTCCTCTAGGGCAGGCAGTGTCTCCAGCCCCAGTCCCCCGCCACCCTGGTTGCTGGAGAAGGACACCATGGTATGGAGGAGCATGAGAACAAGGACACAGAGCCGAATCCTGCTGGGGCTGAGGCGGGAACCCCCAGAGACCGGCAGCAGGGAGGGCTTGTGGCTGACGCGGCCCGGGAGGTCATGGCGGGGGTGGTAGTGGTGGTACTGTTGGTGGTAGTGGTGGAAATAGGAGTGGTGGAATTGCTGGTGGTGGGTTTTGGGGGCCTCAGACTCCTTGAACTTCTTCTTCTCCGACTCACAGGAGACCCACTGCACGTCACAGCACTTGGTTTCCGGCCGCTTTGGTGAAGTATCCAGCAACCCTGCCAATGGATAAGGAAGGTGTGGTGGGGTGCTCAGGGGCCGATGCTATGTCTCAACCTAGAGAGGAGATTTTCAAAGCTCGGACTGCTCGGGGAGCCCTACCCAAGACTCCTTTCCCCCAGCCCCCCGCACTTTCCCTTTCTGAGCCCTTCTCTCCTGGGGACCCCAGCCAGTTTCTCCAGAGTGACTCCCTGGCTGGGCGTGTTATGCACAGAGATGGACACTCTGGTCTTTCTCCCTATTCCAACCTGGGGACCTCGCTGCTCACTCCTCCAGCCACTGGCCTTCTTCTGACCTGACTACCCTGTTGTCCTCCCTGCTCCCACTCCCCTGGCCTGGTGCCTGCCCTGGGCCCCCAGCCTCCTCCCTCTTCCCCAGTGCCCTGCCTTTACCTGTACAGATAAAGCCAGGGAGCCCTCCGTACACCATTTCCTCATTGTCAGGGAGTATAAAGGGGCACCGGGTCTGCACCTCCAGGCAGTATTGCTTGCAGGGCACCCAGCGCTGGCATTCCTGCTGGGTCACGCTGAAGTATTCTGAGCACAGCCAGGCCTTGTAGACAGCCTGTGGGGAGAGGAAAGAGCATCAGCCCACGTGCCAGCCCCTTCCCACCTCAGAGGAGAGGGATGGGGGGGCAGACTTGTGGTCTCTCAACGGGGCCTCACCGAACTAACCCCAGGATCCAGGGACTAGAGAAGAAGGGTTTGGGTCAAGGCCACTACCTCCTACCCTAAGATCTCCCATCTTGTAGTCCAGTCTCCCCCAGTACCCCAGTCGGTAGTCATCCAAGACTCAGAATTTGTTTGTTGGCAAAAATCACAAAATTACTCCCATGTCAGAGCTGGAAGGAGCCTTACCAGTCATCCCACCCAACCCTATCATTTCACACTTGGTCCAAAGAGGTGTCCTGACTTGTCTGAGGTTACCTGTATGTAATGTAATGAGGCAAATTTCAGTTCTGTTCAATTCAGCGAACATTTCTTTGGCTGATGGTGCTGAGGTTTTAAATTCAAGAAAGAAATGAGAAGAATAATCCTTGCTCTATGTCATCAGGGTGTTGTGTGGATCAAATAATATGGCACATACGAAAATGTTTTGTAAACTGTAAAGTACAGAAATGTGAGCGGTTGTTTTTAATAAAAATAGGAATCTGCCTTGCCAGGCACCACAACTGCCTTTGAGCTCTACTTAATCCATGCCCGGTCCTGCTGGCTTCAGATCTGGTACAGAGCAGACATCATGGGCATTGCTACATTTCATTTGGAATCTTTGCTTTGCAGTTTCACTTCATAGGTACACTTCCTGTTCCTCATCTAGCCCATCCCTACCAGGCACTGGGTCCTAGTTAAGAAAGGTTCCCTGCTCCATACTCTTTGGCTATCATCAAGCCCAGGGTTTCTTAACAGTGACACTACCGATGTTTTGGGTGGGATCATTGTTTGCTGTGGGCGCTGTCCTGTGCATTGTACAATACTGAGCAGCTCCCTGGCCTCTACCTACTAGATGCCGGCAGCAATTCTCTCCCTTCACCCATTATGACGACCAAAAAAAAATGTCTCCAGCCATTGTCAAATGTCCTCTGGGGGGCAAAATCGTCTCCCATTGAGAACCACTGATCTAGTTCTTTGCTACTCAAAGTGTGGACCTAGACCAGCAGCGTCACCATCACCTAGGAGCTTGTGAGAAATACAGAATCTCAGGCACCGGCCCCAGTTTGCCACGTCACCATCTGCATTTTAACATGATGCCCACATGACTCTCATGCATGGGACTGATCAGAGCCCTGCCTGCATCCAGCCCTGGGATCTTCAGGGGAGCCTTCTAGGTTCATAGTTGTTCCTCGCAGCAATGGTTCTCAGATGTCAGTGTGCTTCAGAATCCCCTGGGGCATTGGTTAAATATGCAGATGGCTCCCTCCATTTCAGCTTCAAGAGGACTGAGGTGGGCTTAAGAATCTCCATTTTTGAACCAGGGTCCAGGTCACTTGGCTGCAGGAGGCCCTTCAACCACCCTCTGAGCAACATGGTCTTAGAAGCACTTTGTCACTCTTTCTTACACTTAATTTAAACATTTTCACCAAACTACAAATAACTCCACTGTGAACATGGACTTGGGCAGTGCGGTCCCACACTGGCCTTGTGTGAAGCAAGGGGTTAGTAGTGGGTTGTGGCACAGATCGATCCCCCGAGGAACAAAGCATCGCTTGGGACTTTGGTATCTTACAGGCATCTCAAATTTAACACGCTCTAAATTTTAAAATGTAGTTCTTAATTTTTTTATCCCAAATCTGCTGTCACCTTCGAGTCTTGACCATTTCAGTAAGTGCCACGAAGCCTATGTCGGCCTTTATTTCTCTTTCCCTGGACCCCCAAACCCAGTCCATCAGCTCCACATCCACACCTCTGTGCAGGCCATTATCATCTCTCACCTGGGTGACAGCCTGCTCTCTGGCCTCCCCACCTGTGCTCTGGCTCTTTCCAATCCACTGTCCACACAGGAGTAGGCATGCTCTCAAAACGCAATCAAATCATGTTACTCCCTTGCTTCAAACCCTCCAGTGCATTTAGACTAAAACCCAAACTTCTGACCACAGACTTCAGGCCCTTGAATAACTTTGCTCCTGTCTCTCTCTCCAACCTCATTTTCCATCTCTCCCTTCAAGCTCATCATGCTCTACAAACAGAGGTTTTCTTTCTTTTCCTTGAACATGCCCTACTTCTTCCCACCTTAGGGCCTTGGCACATGCTGCTCTCTTGGCCTAGAATTCTCTTTCCCCCGCTTTTGGCATACTTGGGTCCTTTTCACCTTTCAAATGTCAATTTAAGTGTCACTTCCTCAAAGAAGATCTCCCTGACCACTCCCACTAGAGGATGCCACCCTCATAATCCTCTCTTTTCCTTAATTGTTTCTTCACCACAAGTATTACTTTGCTCCCTTGTTTTGTTTCTCTGTCAACCCCATTAAAATGTGAGTAGCATGTAAGCAGACATGGGGTTGTCTTATTAGCCACTGTTGATTGAATGAACAGGAAAAGTAAATGAGGACATGTCCCTACTCTCGTGGAAATAACTTGGATCTATGGCATATGATCTATACTACAGGAGAGGGCAAACCATGGACCACTGGAGGGAAGCAAGCAGAGAAGCCAGAAAAGATTTCAGTGAGGGGAGAATAGTTGAGCTTGGACTCAAAGTAGGATTTTAGATGGGAAAGTAGAGAGAAGGCAAAAGGGCATTCCAGGCTGCGGCAACCACTTGGGCAACGGCATGGAGGCAGCGATGCGTGGTGTGCTAAGAGAACAGAGAATGGTTCTGTGTGAATGGAATGGAAAAGGTACCGATCTCTGTTCGCGGATGTTTGTTTCCAAGTATTCACTACTATGAATAGTCATCCAGTGGACATCTCTGTAGACACATCTCTTACACACTTGTGTTAAATTTTATTTATATGAATTCCTAAATATGAAATTATTGGGATAAATGATATGCGCAAAGGAATGAGAAGGGTGTCAAAGGAGAGTAAAATGGAATAGGTGCAAATAAGAGGCAGAGTAAGAGAGAAATGGTGGGGGAGAGAGGGCAGGAAGAGAGGGGCTTCAGGGGTACAAGAGAGTAGCAGCGGGGTAAGGGGTAAAAGACAGGAGGTGTGCAGGAAAGAGAGGGTGCGAAAGAGTGGGGTGGAGGGCAGGGACTGTTGGGAATAGCGGGGGTAGGAAAGAACAGGGTCGGGGAGAAAGAGGCAGGGAATAAGTGGCGCGGAGGGGTGAGGGAGGTGAGGGGTAAGAGAGTGGGGCGAGGGTGAGAGGAGACGAAGGGTAATCAAGAGTAGGGACCTAAGAGACAAGAGACGGCGAGATGGGGGTGAGAGGGGCTGTTAAGAGGAGGAGGTAAGAAAGAGGGAGTAGGCGAGACGGGGTAAGAGTGAGCAAGGGGTGGATTAGAAGGAATAAGCGTGGATGAGAAAGATGGGAATGTAAGAAAGCAGGGGTAAGAAAGAGGGATAAGAGAACACAGGACAGGTAGGAGAAACAAACAGAAGTAAGACAGGAAAGAACACGAAATCACAGAGACCCCTGCCTCCATCTTTTGGGCCCCAGAGTGCCAAGATGAGTCTCTGTCCACGGCCTCTGCCCCAACTTCTGCAGCCTAGACCCAGAGACTGCCTCACCCTCACCCCAAAATTTGTGGAATCGCCCCCACCCCCCACCTTGCATCCATCAGTGGGGCTCAGAGGCCCATGTGGGATTCTCCCTGGGCTCTTCCAGGTCAGTGCTCCTGTTCCTAGGTAAGGAGGCCCTAGTGGAGTCCCTGCCCTCCTCCCAGGCAACTGCAACTAGCCCAGTAATAGGCTATGGTGGCCGGGCGCTCCCCTCATCCGCTCCCAGAAGGAGGGAGGAAAGGAGGGAGGCAGGAAAGGTGGGGGAGGGGAGGGGATGGTCTGACAGTGGGAGTGTGGCCTTTCTCCTTAATTAGACGACCCCCCTGAGTCCCCACACCCCCAGCCAGAGTCACCATGGCAACAAGTGGGTGAGCAGATTGCTTGGGGAGGACACCAGGCCTGTGGGTGGCGAAGCAGGAATAGGCAAGGAGCTAATGAGGGGAATGGAGGAAAAAGAGCGATCCGGGGCTCAGAGGTAATCCAATTCCTGGGCCCCACCGACAGCCGGCTGAGGCCATTGCTGGCCCTCATGCTTCACAGGTGGCCGGGGGCCTTCTAAGGTGAAAGGTCTAGCTCTCAGTGCTACCGCCTGGGCAATAAGCCTGCCTTAGACTCTGCAGCCTGTTCCTTAGATGGGCCTAGGTAGCTTGCCCTGTTGCATTAGGACTGAGCCAGGGAGGAAGGTTGTTTGGGCAGTCACAGGCGCCTGGACGCTCATCTACAAGGAGGGGAAAAGCCAGGAGGGTCAGGTTTAGGAGAGCTGTGGGGCTTGCTGGAGGTGGGGCACGCAGGGAAAGGAAGAAATGTCCCAGAACCAGGTAACAGTCAGTTGCGAGACCCGTGTAGGTTATTTGCTCTCCAGCTTCTCAACTCTGGCGGCATATTAGGATCACTCAGAGAGCTTTTAAAAAATACTGCTGGCCGGGCGCGGTGGCTCAGGCCTGTAATCCTAGCTCTCTGGGAGGCCGAGGCGGGCGGATTGTTTGAGCTCAGGAGTTCGAGACCAGCCTGAGCAAGAGCGAGACCCCGTCTCTACTAAAAATAGAAAGAAATTAATTGGACAACTAAAAATATATAGAAAAAATTAGGCGGGCATGGTGGCGCATGCCTGTAGTCCCAGCTACTCAGGAGGCTGAGGCAGGAGGATTGCTTGAGCCCATGAGTTTGAGGTCGCTGTGAGCTAGGCTGACGCCACGGCACTCTAGCCCGGGCAACACAGTGAGACTCTGTCTCAAAAAAAAAAAAAAAAAACCTGCCTGACTCACATCACACCCCAGACCAAGTAAGGCAGAATCCTTGTGGCTGGAGCCTGCACATCTGTAGTTTTTCAAAACACCTCAGGCAACCTCGGTGTGCAGCCACAGTTGAGAACCATCAGTTCAGTCCTACTTCATCATTTTACAGAT